CCAACAGACACACAAAGCAAGAGCGGAAGGAAACTCATCACCCCGAGTCCTGCCAACACAGCCAGGTTTTAACGGCTTTTCGGAAGGCCTGGAGAGCTAGTGAAGTCGATTACCAGATGCAAACGATTTGCTTTAAATCCACCAAACCAGTGTGAAACTTCCCACCCTACAGGCAGTCCTTGACTTACAACATTTCATTTAGGGAACCTTCAAAGTTCCAACAGCACTGAAGTAAGTGACTTACAGCCATTTTTTCCACACTTCCGAACACTGAAACATCCCCGCGGCCATGTGATCAAAATTCAGACGCTTGGTAACTGGTTCACACTTATCACCCTCGTGTTGTCCCAAGGTCATGTGATAGCAATACCCATAGCCCTTAGCAGAGGTGGGTTCCTACTGGTTCGGACCAGTTCTGCCAAACAGGTAGCGATTTCCCAGCCTGGGTCACCAGAAACGGCAGCGACCCAGGCCTGCCATGCCTCCAAACCGGTTCCCTGGTTGGTGTGGCATGTTGTTTTTTCATTTTTTAATGTTCTGCGCATGCGCGGACCTATTTATGGGCTACTGTGCATGTGCGCGGAACTGGCAGTAATGACGGCAGCAACCCACCCTTGGCCCTTAGACTTATATACCTCTTCACAGTGCTTTTACAGAACTATCTAAGCAGTTTTACAGAGTCAGCATATTGCCCCGAACAATCTGGATCCTCATTTTATCGTCCTCGAAAGGATGGAAGGCTGAGTCAACTCTTGAGCTAGTGAGGCTTGACCCACTGGCAGTCGGCAGAGTTAGCCTGCAATACTGCATTCTAACCACTGCGCCATCATGGCGCCACCACAAGTGATCACCTTTTGCAACCTTCTGACAAGCAAAGTCAACGAGGAAACCAGATTCATTTAACAACCAGGATACTAACTTATCAACTGCGGCGATTCATTTAACAATGTGGCAAGAGAGGTCGCAAAATGGGGCGAAACTCACTCAACAAATGTCTCGCTTAACAACATAATTTTGGGGCTCCATGGTGGCCATAAGTCGAGGGCTACCTCTATTCTCTCTCAGCTTGTCTTTTATGTTTGATCCTCCTCTTAACTATTTCGTTCTGTATTGGTCTTTCACCAAAATAAAGTCTGACTTGACTTGGGATTTGCAAAGGCCGTAATTTTCCAGTTTTCTTGATTTTCATTTTAAAAAGGAACCTGTTCTGGCGGAGCAGATGACAGGGACTCAGCATGAGCCCTGATGAAGGCGAAGCATGAGTTGCGCCAAGGGGCCACAATCAAAAATGCAGGGGAAATTATCTTGGGATACCTCTGAGTTGTTTATCAAAACGTTTGTCAAAGACGAGCAGCATCTTTTCCTCCTTGCAAATTTTTTTTTAGAAAGCATGGCAAGAATACAGTTGTTATTTAACAACGATGTGTCGACTTCAAAAGGGAGAAAAGAAGAGAAGAAAAGAGGCTGGGTTACTGCCTAGCAATCCATCAGTCTGGTTTCACCAGGGATAATTTGCTGTAAAGTCAAATCCGCTGTGGCTCAGAATTAGGAGAAGTCATCTGAGTCACACAGTTGAAACAATTTCCATTGCAGTAAAGATGCTCACTGAACATTTACTCAGAGCTCTGAAGGTACTTTAATCGCGGGAAATGTAATTAATACATGCAAGCTTCCTGCACAATCCCTCAAGATTACAGATTGTTGTGCAGGAAGCTTCAATAACAGAAAAATTAGGGGCACGTGTCAAACAACCAATGCAAAAGGCGTAAGCAGATTCCTCATATTTTTCATTCTTTAGGAAACTTGGTGTATGTAATAATTTTTTGGTGATGGATATCAGAATAAATAAGGGGCAGGATCTTTCTCAAAGCCTCTACCTGCTAGTAGAAACTTCCTGCATGAGCAGGGAGTTGGACTAGAAGACCTCCAAGGACTCTTCCAACTATTCTATTCTATTCTATTCTATTCTTCTCTACTCTATTCTAATTTCCTATTCTTTGTTCTATTCTATACTATTCTACTCTATTCTAATTTCCTATTCTATTCTGTTCCATTCCGTTCCATTCCATTCTATTCTACTCTATTCTAATTTCCTATTCCTTGTTCTATTCTATTCTATTCTGTTCCGTTCCATTCCATTCTAATTTTCTATTCCTTGTTCTATTCTATTCTATTCTATTCTGTTCTATTCCGTTCCATTCCAGTCTAATTTTCTATTCCTTGTTCTATTCCTTGTTGTGTTCTATTCTATTCTATTCGGTTCTGTTCCGTTCCATTCCATTCTAATTTTCTATTCCTTGTTCTATTCTATTCTATTCTATTCTGTTCTATTCCGTTCCATTCCAGTCTAATTTTCTATTCCTTGTTCTATTCCTTGTTGTGTTCTATTCTATTCTATTCGGTTCTGTTCCGTTCCATTCCATTCTAATTTTCTATTCCTTGTTCTATTCTATTCTATTCTATTCTATTCTAATTCTTTATTCTATTCTATTCTAATTTCCTATTCCTTGTTCT